TGTTTATTTACAGTTATATTTTACGCGACGTACGTCCACACATACCAAAGGGATACGTCTACACACTACACGATATCGGTTTAGTTATTAACAAATTAATGGGTGGCGCGTATCGGTAAGTAGCTTCTACATTTCTACATACAGTTATAGCATAAAACTGTTGTTGTACCAAAAAAATTAACGAGGCAATAAGGTTAAGTAAATATGTAAGCTTGCCTGTGGCGAATGTCAACACTCATCAACGGCTTAATGAGGAAATGTTTTAACGCTACCCACCGGTGCGGGCTGATAAGTAAAAAACGGTTTTTGCTCTCTGAACCACCGCAAACATAAATACAAGGAAATAATAATATACTCTCAACATTACATATCTACTTCTCTCAAATGTTAAACCCTTTCACTTAATCACTTTCGTTGCCTGTTCGGTTAACCGTTCGATGGGTTAATGGATCAAGCGTTTGACGCTCTTCACCCGCCCCTTGACTCTCTTGCTCTTATTTGATGGTGTGAAGTGTAAAGCCTTTGGCTTGCGGGTTTGGTCAGCACTTGCAAATAACGTATGAGTGTGTGTGGGTGTGGAGTGCGCCTCTGTTAATCGGAGTTGTTGACTTCGTGCCTCAGTGCRTGGGTTTAATTTAAAGGTCTCTTGTGTGCGCCATTACACACAATTCCACCAGAAATTTGTATATGATCTTTGCCTTTAAATATACATATATATTTATATATGTAAGTATGTACTCGTATGTTTGTATTTGTGCCAACAAGGCGCCAGACAAACAAAGCTTCTCTTGCGCTTGCTTAATTTCTCGACCTTTGTGTAAAAATTCATTCTTGATAAGGATAAGCTTTAATTGTAAATTTAAGTCCATTTCGTAGGATTTTCGCAAATGGTGCAAAAACTTTGTGTAGAAATTCAACTCGCATCTTAACTCCCGAATGTTTAAAATTTAATATTCGCATAGCGAAAATGTGTGTGTGATTTCAACTTTAAGTTGKGAATTGTTTRGYGTTCGAAGTGAAAGTTGAAATATATGCCTTCTAGCACAGCAGAGAGGACATTCGTTTAGTTGAAATTGGTTTAAGGATAAGCCTTTAATTCATTTCTGGCCAATGAGCAAGCTCTGGTTTTGTCAGTACCCGCCGTCAGAAGGTTGTGGCTTTCTTTGCTTAATCGTGAGATGTCGTTGCTGTTTAGCAATGGCTTTTGGATAATGACAAAGTCTGTTTCATCGCGGATCGACGCGGAGACTGGATGTTCACTTGAAGTATTCTCATCCTCTAAACTGTTCGCCAACATTGCGAGTTCCGCGCCATCGTCATTACTGACCCGATCCTCTTCGATCAGGCGCTCCAGACTGAAGACGGATCGATCAACTGAAGATCCGCCTTCCGGCCTCACTGCCTCTAAGAGGATAGAGTAGATTTTTGTTTCTTCAACTCCACTGGAGGCAACTTACACCTGCCACATGAACTTAATTGACGGGAGCAGAATGTACTTCGAGGTCTGCCAGGTCTTAAGCGCGACGGTGACAACCTTGGTATTATTTAACAGCCATTTCTTCATGGTGCCAAGGGGTGAAAGAACACCTTGATCACCAGCACATGATTCAAACTAATCCATCTAATAAGAGATGATTCTTRCTATCCTCACCCAGTACATATCAAAACATTCCTGAGAGTCAATACTGGCTTTGTCACCTTTGCGTCGGATTACCGCGATTCGACAAAGACCTMTTTCGCTGACGTTGTCGTAAGTGATCCACTTTTCATCGTCAGCCTCAATTCGTTTCAAAAGTACTACAAAACGATTATGTTGTGATCGAGCTGTTCTTTGTATGCAATCCTTGTTGATCGAATTTTTTGTGCGAATTGGTAGATGAAATAAAAAAAAAACAGCTTTCAAACGTTTTTCAGCTATTTTTTTGGGTTGTGCCCTCTCCTATATCGTCAGAAAGATTCAGCACACTAAATAATTCCAGGGACTTGCTGGACCTGACTGAGGTGATGTAATCCTTTTCCACGTAGATGGATCCTAGAGCCTTGAGCCTACTTCTAAAAATTGCTGGACAATCCAGAATAAGGTGTTCTGGAGTTTCCTGTTCCATGTCGCAAAACCAGCAGTTTGAGCCAAAGATTATGTTCATGTTAAACAAGTGTTTCATGAGCCTGTAGTGCAGAGTGCTTCAAGAAGACGGAATTTTTCTCGGAGGATGTTGATCATATCTCGAAAGTTTGTTATGTTGTAACCTCCCAGTCGTAACTTGGCCTGGCGTATTCTTGTTGCTTGCCGCCAGTGCCGTTTTCACCCCACTCTTTCCTTCGGGCGGAGAAACCTCTTCATAGTGAGGGACCCCACTGCYGTTGCATGATTCTGGCCCCATCATACTGGACGCTGCCGCCAAATGGGCCACTTTGTCGGCCTCACTGCTGGCTATCTCTTTATGGCGCGGCACCCGGATCAGGTGTACATGGTTGCATAGGCGGTTCAACCTTTTTCTACATTCCGCAACAAATAACGATTTGACTTCATTAGCTGAGATGTGAGAGTGGWTTTTCCTTCTCTTAAGGCCTTAATTTTTTGAGACTACATTATCTACCCTTTACCAAAACCCTTTGCTACCATGATTAGCATGGTAGGTTTCGCTGTCTGTTTGATCGTTATATGCAACGGTGTGAGCTCCAGCCTGACTTCAAGTGCTGCGATTAAGCAAATGCGCTTGGCCTCTAAAGCGCAGACGCAAGCGAGTCTTTCCGGCTTCGAWAGTTGAAGGCCTACCGAAGACTGCAATGCCTTGGATACCCAAGCAACCGCTCCATAAGCGAAAATAGGCTTTAAGATGATTTTATATAGCCTCCTCCCTGGCTTACAGTACCAGGATCTGTCAGCTAAGCGTCTACATATCATGGGTGCCTAATTGGTTCTGGACAGTGGTAATTCCATGTGCCTATTCCAACGTAAGGTTAAATAATGTGAGGTTATCTGATGTGATTGCCAGAAATTTGATCTGTTTAGACACCTCCAACTCCCTGCCACCAAGTATTAGGAGCCTATGAAACTACTACGAAATTCTTCTTTTTTTATCGTTTTGGAAGGCTTCTGCACTAGTCTATTACACCCAAATATACTTCAGTACCAATACCCGACACCCACTGTCTTCCCAGTCCCATCACGTTATATAGAAGAAATATTRTTTTATAATGTCATCAGCAAGAAAAATCGCTTTAGTACACACTTTACAGCATAAATTTTTATTTACATACAATACATAAGTACATATTCATAGAGCTATACAATATACGGAGATCTGCATTACTTATACGCACTGCGCCACCGTCTGTTGCACACCAGCAAATCGACATCTCCGCGCTATTTTTAGCCACGCTGAAATTGTGCGCTGGCACTCGAATAGACATTTATGACAGCCGAGCATTTACATACTTGCTTGTATTTACACATACTTAATGCMACGCTTCTGAATTATTCATGTTGATTTCAATATGGCAAATCGCTCATACGCCACCGGCTGCCTGCGCCGGAAATAGAAGCATGTGCTGCACACGAGTGTAATTGTGCGAATGTGATTTTTACGATGCAGTGTGTATTTTGACACTTTTCTTTCTCTTGGCTTATAGAATATTTTTTTTTTTTTTTTTTTTTTTTTGAGAATTTTTTGTTTGTTTATTTGAAGATTTTTTTGGTTTTGACTTTTTTTTTTAATTTTCAACGATTTAACTTTAAGCAATTTGCCTAAATTCAATTTCTTTTTCATTTCCACTCGCTTGCTTTAATTAAATTAAATATGCCTTGACTCTATCTTTTTCTGTTTGTTAAACTTTCCAGCTTTMTCTTGCTAATTTTGCCAAATCTTCAGGTCTATCTCATCTCACTTAATCCTTTGTCGCCCATTCATTCGCTCCAATTTCTCTCCTATCAATACTTTTTCCATTATTACTTCAATTTCTCACTATTTAACTTTTCCTCACTTTCATCGTTTTGTTTCATCTGCGAAAAGTCAAAGTGCACCCTCTTTGGCCAATAGAGTTTAAAATTGAATGCTGTTCTAACTACGATTTGATGATGATGACGTCGATAATGTTCTCTCTGGCGTTGCCRTTTTATTTAGTGACTTTAGTAGGTGGTAATAACGATGACGAGGGTGCRCGCTGGCGTTGAAAATAGATCCGTTTTCACATCTTGGGTCACTTTTTGTTGCCATGTTGTTGTTGTAGCCTTTAATATTATTGCGTGATGCTTATGTGACACAAGGGATTTAATGTTGGCTAACGTCATTGAAATTTTTATACTATTCTATATATATATATGTATTCGCTATTTGGTCTTTTGGTCAGTTTTGTTGCCGTTTTTTTCCTTTTGTTTTGGCAAGTTTTTGTCAGCTTCTCACCAGCAAAGTAATGAACTTTCGTAACTTTATCAACTTTTGCTTATCTTCTTTTTATATTTTGGTKCCTAATTTGCACCTCTTACATGTGCGCGTATACTTTTCTTACTTGATTTTGTGTGCGTGTTTGTGTGTGTGTTTGTGTGTGTGTGTGTTGAGTTTCATAGCTAACCTAGCTGAGTTTTAGCTTTTATTTCGCTGCCTATGCTGATACAAATATATTTGTGCTTGTGGGGTTGAAGGGTTAATATATTCTGTTCGCCTATAACTAAAATTTAAATCATGAGCRCTATGGGTTTATGATTTTACGCCTTTTTGTTCTGAATCTAAGTTTTTGATGCGATAGTTAATAGTATAAGAAAACCGAACAACAAGCGTGTATTTATTATTAGATTTTTTTTGTTCCTTTGAAAGAAGAAGAAATTGTTTTTCAAATTTCTTTTTTTGACAAAATTTTTTTGATAATAGTTTTTTTTTTTTAATTTTCTTAAGAAAACTAGAACTAAGCGACATAGATATTGGATTATATATACTATATGACGAGAATAGTTGAAATTTGGTTGACTGTCTGTCCGTCCGTCCGTCCGTACTAGTTGTCACTTGAGTACAAATTGAGATATCTGAATGCGTTTTGGCATCCTTAGTACAAAAAGGTACGACTTCGTAGATGGGYGTAATAAGACTTATGCCATGCCCCAAAATGTCACTAAATTTA